TCTTTACAACCAAGGATCAAGACAATGACAGTTACGAAGGTAACTGTGCCAAGAGACATAAAGGAGGCTGGTGGTACTCATCCTGTCATAGCTCAAACCTCAATGGTTTTTATTATCACGGGAAGCACATATCGTTTGCTGATGGAGTCAACTGGTTTCACTGGAAAGGATACTACTACTCTGTGAAGAGAGCTGAGATGAAAATCAGACCAGTGGAGTTTCAGTAGAACTTGTAGGCTACCTTACTAAGACAAATAAGAATTCATAAGTTAATTTAAAGCTGACTTGGCTTCATTAATTAGACTTAATAGTTCTCTGATGTTTCTCCTCTCCCATCCAATTAACCCCTACCCACCCTGGTGATACACACAACTGACATAATTTTCAAAGTACCAATATACGATAACAACCCTCTGCAACTTTCAGTGAGTACACCAGAATAGTTTGAAAAGAAACCAAGAAAGGTTTTATAAGCCACTCAAAATAGCGGTATTACTTGGAGTCCAGTCCGCGTCAGTATCAAACACCATTGCGGACCAGTGTAGGCCCACGTATCATTTCCAGCATTTCACATTCCTTAAACATAAGTTCCTGGCCAACAGATTAAGTTGTTAGACTCTTGCAATTAGATTCTGTGCTTAACATTCACATTTAACAGATGGTTTCCATGTTGCCGTGTGTCTGTTCAGTGCTAGATCGCAGATGACGTCAAAAGGTAACAAGAACAAAAACGTGGCGAAAAAGGTTGAGTCACTTGTAATTTGTGATCTTTCAAGAAAACGGGCGGACCATTTTTTTTTTCTTTTATCAAAGGCACTTTCTTATAAAGTCTATGAAACTCTCTTTTGGGCACTAAAGGTAATTCTTTGTTGATAGTTTTTATTTCTCCAGTTTAGCTTATCTACACGTAAACATACGGAGGTTTAGAGTTAACACCGCGTCGACGTGAAACGGTGAAAATCAGCTTTCCCTTTTCGTGTACGTTGTCAGTAATTTAACTTGGATTCTACTCTGTGAGACAAAAAGTGAAGAAAATCGTTTGTACACGGTAAACGTGAAACGTGTTACTTTCACGTAGAGAGGGCAAAGTGAAAACGGCAAATGTAAAAAAATGGCGGAAAAACAAGGCCATGCGTTCATGCTTGCCGTTCACGGTTCCCGTTTCACGTAAACGCGGGGGTAAGTCTCTCTATTTAATCTCTTTTCGTCACATTACCTCACGTCAAGTAGCATTACATCACAGGGTTACATCACATGACCTCAAATCTTACTATATTGCACTATATTATACCATATTGCATCCACTCTGATGTCATACTGAGATCCCACCGTGCAACTGAAATTGTAACTGCGTGACCGTAGGTCTGAGTACGAGACTACATAAACACTATTCCATTCCAACCAAATAGGATATGCCAGTGTCATATTGCATCAATTATCTTAAATGATAAAGCGATGCGAGGTCGCATTGCATTGTGACTGCACTCTACTTACTTTGGAGTGCGCAGGGTAGCCTCTTTAAGGGTTCGATTCAAGTTGACCTAAGTTCATTAACTTTCTCATAATAAGAGGCTAGACTCTCTGGGGCTTTCCTTTTAGTTATTCTGATATACTTTCGCATGGGATACGCAGCTTTCTCCAAATTTAAAATTTCTTCTATAACTCGGCTGTATTATTGAAATCGTCAATCTTCGGATCTTCGTTACTTTTTCAATTTAGCCGGACGGACCTGTCACGTAGGAAATTTCAAATATATAACTACATCTAGCCTATTGCCGCATTGACGTCACTACTAAGACTATTTACCCTTCCGCTCGCTTTCATCATCAGAGTGAAGCAAGAAGGGTAATTCTAAACATCGAGTTGCTCTTGCGTTGGAATCGCGACATTCTCTGTTTTTCCGCCGACATTCCTTAGGCAGTGTAGGTTCAAGTCAAACGACTCCGTAATAAACTTCATGGTTTGGTCGTTAAGATCAAGAATTTTTAAATGATGCCTGACGTGGAGCGCTGTTCCTCTCCCATTTTTTATCATCGCCTAATCTGTCGATTGGCTTCTCATCCTCAACTCGATTCAAACTAACCACTATCCCTTTCAAAACTGTAATCATAAGCGCACTGAAAGAAGAAACCGAATATCCCCAAAACAGTCTGATATCTGTCAATGCATCTCGCGCGGGAAAAGCAGACACCTCCGGTTCGCGGAATACGACCGCGGGACCTGAGCAAAGTTTCTATGAATTCGGTACCATGATATAGGAAAAAACGTAACATTGGTAAACGCATAAGCCACAAGACAAGATACACGACACTCTAGTTTTCTTTTTACTTCAATAAGATCTATCTTGGTATGAAGATCGGCGAGTAACTAAGGCCACTAAAGTTTTCTGTCATAAATGTGCAGGGTGAGTCGTTTTACTCTCTGATCGCTGACGGACAAATTTGCTGAACATGGCTAAATCCTACTCGGAGACTAGGCTGGGTACAAGCCACGAGCAGCAGGAGATACCGAAATTACAGTTCGCGATAAAATATCACAGTATTTTATTATTGCTATTTTTTTTTTCATTTTTTTTTTCATTTTTTTATTTTTTCGTGTCATTTGTGAGCACGCTTTCATTTGTGTTGCAAGGAGGGTCGAAGCTCGTGCGTTGATTTCGAGTAGATGAACGGTGTGAGCAGGGTTTAGAGAGGTTGAGAAAGACCTCTCGCACGCTCGTTACGCTCCCTGCCTCTAATCTCGCGGGCCTCGCCTCGTCGGTGGGTGAGCTGGGAAAGTGAGAGGTAGGTGAGGGGATAGCCTTAGCTAGAGATACACACAAGAGAAAGAGCAGAATAAAATGGCATCCCGTTTATTCCGCATTTCACCTCTTGCTTAGCGTGTGAGCAAGCTGTAAAAAGGTGGTGCGCCATGAGCAGCGAGGTTCCCAATCCGATTACCGCTTTAGGATATGAATCACATACCAATTCGATTGCCGCATTAGGGTATGTATCATGTACCAATCCGATTGCCGCATTAAGGTGTGTATCACATAACAATCCGATTGCCGCGTTAGGGTATGTATCACGTACCAATCAGAACGCCGCGTTTGGGTATTAGACTTTCAAGAAAGGTTATTCCAGGGTGATGGAAAAGATAAAAGAATTGCGGCAAAAATTTAGTAATGCTGTGACAATGGGATCTAGAAGTGGTTCTGGAAAGTTGGTAATGGAGTCCTATGATGTAATGGTAAAGATACTGGGGAGGATCAAAACATCAAAGCTCGCTCCGGTCTCCCGCGGTTCATCACCCCAGTCATCAACCGGGCTGGCTCGCCTCATGTAATATCGGGCTGAATGTCATCTCGGCACACCAAAGCAGCTCGGCTAACCGGGCCAGCCCGGCTCATGTAATCAGGCCCTAAGGTCATTCCCGTTACAAAGGTCGTGAAAAGATCGGGTTACTGGGTTACGAAAGATGGCGATGATTAACTAAATTACACAATAAAATCACGTGCGTAACGCAAGTGTGTTGCGCTGTTCGTGACAAACAAGGCAAGGTAAACGTGTAGGTATCGAGCATAGTTTGTGAAAGGCATTCAATCTTTGTACTCGACTTCAATGTATCAAGAGGTTTGTGAATTGATATTGCTGAAAGGTGACAGTGGGCTATCCAAACACGAAAAATTATAACATGAAGCGGCGTTTGTGTGTTTCGTGAGGCCTGACGTGACATATTATTTTACGGGACGAACACTCTTTATTTCATCTTAAGACTCGTTTTTTTATTATCAATATTTTACCCTCAGTCTGCACTTTACCCCTGGTCTGCAGTCTGCAGTCTGCATTTTACCCCTGGTCTGCAGTCTGCAGTCTGCATTTTACCCCTGGTCTGCAGTCTGCAGTCTGCATTTTACCCTCAGTCTGCATTTTACCCCCGGTCTGCAGTCCGCAGTCTACGTTTTACATTGACCGAAACTAAACAGCTGTATTGCGGGTGAATGATTTATTTACAACACGATCGAGACTGTGGTTACTGTGGGGCTGTCATTATCGGGACGGTACAAAACGTGGACCCCTAGTCTGTCCAGAACAATAGCAATTCAAATTGGACGCCTTATTTCGATTTGGTGTATAGACGCATAAACTAATTGTTTTAAAAAACTTGCTAACTTTACTCTATTGTTCTAATGACAGCAAATAAACCAATCCAAACGCTTTAAACTAACTGTGATCAGTTAGGGAGACCTGGGACCTGAACAATAATCATTCGATCTTACGATCACGACTGTTAACAAGAGTTCTTGAGTTTTTACGATGGCCCGAGTTATCACGACTTATCACGATGGCGTCTGCGCAGATTTTGAACTGCATTGTATGCGATAAACCTGTTCGGCCAAAACAGCAAGCCATTCAATGTGATGGATGTTTTCGCTGGAATCATCGAATTTGCAACACATAAGTTTTTAACACTATTACGCATATTATTGGTATTTGAGGTTATATACTTTGACACAGAGACCTTTACTGTATTTACTTTATTCTAATTTGGATTTTTACTTTAATTAAATAAGTATATTGCAAGAAGTTTACCGAGCGGCTCTTCGAGATGGAAAAGAAATTGACCGGCAATGAGCGATGTGCTCGCATCCGGACTCCTTCGCCGATCCTTCCAGCTACTTGGAACTGGGAGCTCCAGACTTTACCTTCGTTGATCCCGAAGAATTCCCGCTTGATGCAGATAGTATCCGAATTTAGAACCCCAAATAATTCCAACCTGATGCGGAGAACAAATACAGCACTGATCATGGAGAATCCTCTCTTCGTGACTTTACATGTGTAACGAATCGACTTCGACTTGTATCGAAACGACTTTGTATCGAAACTACCGTGAACCACTGTCCGCTTCTTGGAATAGATAATCAAAGATAATGTCCCCAAACAAATACCCGAGCTAATCCTCGCGTCAAACCGGACTGATTTTTCTTCCATCATTATATTCCACAATTGTGCAAATAACCGTGAAAGATGATCACAGAAAAGCGATTCCATGACACTCGGTAGGTTGCAAGATAATGTCCCGTATTCGACGAAAAAACAGTTTTTAAAATTCTAAGTCTGCACTCTGCAGACTAAATGTTGTACCCAGTCTACATTTTGTACCCGGTCTGCGGTCTGCACTCTGCAGTTTTGTACTGAAGGATACCAAAATGTAAATTCTGACTACTCGCGCAACATCACCTTAGCAGTTCAAAGTAATTCTAAGTAATATCAACTCTATCTGAGAGTTATCCATCGGCTGCCTATGTTTACATGTAAAAGTGTATGTTTTTATAAACATGAATTTAACTATCTTCAAAACCCATTCAAACGTAATGTATCCACGACTTATTACACTTTTCTTCCCTTTGGCTAATGAAACCAGCAAGAAGGCGCACGGGACCCGAGGCAAAAAGCATGTAACAAGAAACTTTCCTTTTGAAGAGTAAGGTTGAATTAGCTTTTTGGAGTTCTAAAAAATAGATGAAGAATACTCTTCAGGTCGCCATCTGTTTACTATATTATTATTATGCCGCAGTATTTACATCTGGATGCCCAGAAAAAAACTACAGTTATGGCTGGGCGATAAGCCGTGGCCAGTAAAAATAAAAGAATTTGTAAATAATTTGAATGTCTTAATGTTCAGTAATGTTCTATGGGAATCAATTCCACTGTTCATATGTAATATCTAGTGACTCAGCTTAAATGTTCTTGCAATATGAATTCGAAGTGAACTTGTCAGGATTGCCCTCTGCATCTGTCCCAAAATAGACTCACTCTTGTCTACCACCAGTTCTTTGATATTCTGTTCCACCTCTCTTGAGCAACCACCAAAGACATACATGATTATATTGTATTGAATGATTTTGTACCCAGGGTATCTGCTTGTGAGCTTTAATTGTAGTTGACGACACTTTGTGGTCTTTTCAATGTCTTTCGCTCCTCTTTATTCCAGCCGTGCAGCTCATATCGATGACTGCAACTTTCTTGTTTAATTCGTCAATAATTGTGACATGGATTCTGTTGGCTTTCACCAAATGTCCTGTCTGCATATAAGGCGACGTCCCAGTAGGCGGTAGCACGTTCATTTTCGTACACTGGCTCTGGTTCAGCTGTTGAGAACCGTGGCTCCACTTTACTGATGAGGTTCAAGGATCTCAGGACTTTGATGAATAGGATCTTAAGGGCATTGTTATGTCTCTGTAAGTACTTGGTTTGCGCTAAAGCGCTGCAGCCAGAGAGAATGTGCTGTATGTTCTCTGTGAACTTTCCGCATGAACGGCAATTTTCATCAGTGACTTGCGAGCTCATCTTTTGGTTGTAGTAGGCAGAAGCTGTCGGCAAAGCCCTTGTATTCCTGCTACGGTATGTGTAGGGGCATTCTTCCATGAAGAAAGCCACGCAAAGCATTTTTCAAGATCAACGTCTTCGTCGTCCCATCTGTTCCTGACGAATTTCTCTAGCCATCTCTCCTCAGACAATTGATTTTATCTCCTGCTGCCGTGACTTGTTGATCACTGGCTTCACCTATTTGGACTGTACTTTTTTGTCTCGATAGATGAAAATTGGGTTAGGATAATTTAACCGTAGCTGGAGACCCAGCTCAGCTGCATACTTCGTTATTATTACTATTGTTACTATTATTATTATGTCGCAGAGAAATCAAGTGAATGCTACATTCTAATCAGGCAGCACAGGGCGAAAACCGTAACCTGTGAGCCATGGAGTAAAAAAATAAATGTACATTAACTAAT